GATGATGATGATGATGATGATGATGATGATGATGATGATGATGATGGTGATGATGACGATGACGATGATGATGACCATACCAGAATAATTATCCTGTAATAACTGGTACAAAAAGGCTGAAGGAGCAATTGAATGTTCACATTTACTGAGTAGAAATGTAAAATATCTCCGAATTTTCATTTTAAACGTAATGCAAACATAGAAGGCATCTAGGAGTACATTTTATGTTAAATTACGTTTATTATAAGATGTATCTAATATATTATAGTATAATATATATAATATATATAGATGATATATATGATATATATTATAGTATATATTTACAATCGCTTTAATACATGTAAAACCATTTAAGATAACTCACGTTCTTCGGCGGCACGACGTTTCGGGCCGTAACGCTAGCATTTGTGTTCCTATGTTCATCGTATTCATGCTCACGATCCGTTTTTCCGTGTGTGAATGTATAATTTCCAAAGTACACGCGCATCGATATATCTTTTTCAATTAGCAGGTTGTTTATACCTCTCTGTATACATCTGATCCGGCGACCATTTACTTTGCTAGTATATACAATACTGCGAACGAGCATGGTCCTCGGATGAATTCGTGACGAATCGAATCATTGAAAATGATAAGTTTCATTTGTTATTTTTGTGCTCGCAATTCTTACAACACGGCACTACTAATTAGGAAATTATTCTACTTCTAATTGTGTATTCATTGTTATTATTCGATTAATCTTAGTAGATTCATATACGTAGTACACAACGCTACATTTGTATCGTTCGGGGACGGATAATGTCGGAAAGCCGAGGACTGTAAACTATTTTAAGACAATAAATTGGCAACGTGTATCGTCGGAAGAATAAATATTTGAGTTAGGAGTACGTGAGGTACATTAAGTTACTGACTCACAGATACAATCGTTAAAAGTTTGTATACAGGATGCTGTTACATCTCAGGGGCCTAGATACACTCGTGTAAGAGGAATCCCATTTACAAGTATATATTTCCACTTTGACATAATTGTTGTTCGTTCGTCTGTATTTTGTTTCTTTTTGCTCAATCTGTCAGAACGCATTCGCTATAAGCATGCAATGCAAAAGCATTTCGAAATTTCCGACACGGCGATACAATTACGCCCGCCCCCGCAATCCTATTCAACATAACAATAAGTAAAATTCATACATCGTTTTCGTAGCCAGAAACGCCCCACATGTAGTTTATTTGAATAAAGGTCACTTTCCCGCAGTTAAATCGATAAAGCATCACATCGTAAATTCTCATTAAGTTTGAATTTAGTGTTTTTTTCTTCTCATTTTCATTTAAATATCACACGCTCGTTAAGACTCGCTCATTACTCTCATACATCGTGTGTTGCGACGTACACGTTTTCTTTCTTTTTCACCGACTGCTCATTAGTTTTTATTTCATCACCTAATTAATTTTCGACATCGATAAAAAATTATATATATGCATATATATATATATATATATAATTATTTCATCATTAATTATTATATCTTATTGTTCCATTAAAGTTTAAACTAAAGTGCTCCGTGTGGTATGCATGTCCTGGCAAGTTACCGCACTTATACATACATACATATATACATATATATGTATATACGTATGTATATACTATTTATATTTATATATTTATAATAAAGTATCATTTACTTATTATCAGTATCCTTTATATTTATTACTAGAATCATGAATAATAACTCACAATATTTCGAACTATGCATCTCCACGATTAATTAGGATTGGTGCAAACCAAATAATTGAATCTACACAGACCGATCATCGAGCATCGCGCAGGGTAATCTGTCCGATTTTTACAAAAAGAAAATTATATGATTCAGATTTAATTATTCAAATCGGTATAATTAAATAATACGTTCAATTGTTTCCTACATCTCGTTTCCTTTGCATACGTGGTGGCGGAATCAGTCAATCTTTAATCAACGTGATTGATAAATTACAAAATTGAAGTGTTCAAATTTATTTTCATTAAAATAATCTGACAATCATTTTCCTATAAATAAATTGATCCTATAAATAATTTCCTAGCGCTATTAATATTGCAATATACGCCATCCTGCGAGACAATCGCCCATTCAAATGGATGACGTGTTAGAAACAAAATAACACCCTTCAATGTATTTAACGCATATTTTGTTCACGTTTACAATCCACTTTCTCCCCAACATCGCATTTTTAAGGCTCAAAGAACTTTATGTCGTTAGAAGTGTTTTTGATTTCATCATGGTGAGCTGCTTTACTATGTAGTAGTTTATTTCCCATGTTTTTAAAGTCATTATAAATTCATGTAACGATGATCAGAAAAATAAGTCGACGCTACGTGTTATAATTCAAGAACCGATACAATTCATAACATTTTTCGCTATCCATTATCTGTAATCAAATTCATGGTAGCATAAGTGGTATACACAAACCATTACAAGGGTAAATGATTCTTCCATTCTCTGAATTGAGCAGATTTAGGTAAATTATAAAATTGATATGAATATTGATGAACATTGGAGTACCTGCGCGAACTAGCCCCGGTCAGTCCCCTCAGGTACTTATTTATTGATACTGTAAAATAAAATTTGCTAGAAACATGTCGAATGTCCGCTCGAAATTTTAAAGAAAAACTTCTTCAAAGACAAGACCATCGCCCCCTATCTACACAGGGAACAACAATAACCACGTGCAATGATTATTTCATTTAATCGATCGATTTCTTCAGAAATTTCAAACATCAAACTTCAATTGTAACCGTGTTTAATACGAAGACCTTTGTCCCGCTTGATTACCGAATATTAAGTACCCTAAACAGTTATCGCCGTTTTTTATGTAAAAAATTATAAAAAAACATATTTAAATAATATGTTTTTCGTATGTTTTTACATGTATTTATATTTGTTTTTATACAATTTCCAAGAATTACGACTAACAAAAATCGGCAAAAACTATTGGGTGTACCTAATATCGTATTTATACATGTGGTTCTGTATTGTCTAATCGGCATGTAATTCAAGTTCACAAATCAGACGTATCGAACAGAAAAGTCGTTACAGTAAAAAGAAAAAGAAAAGAAAAACAAAAAAAAAAGACACTTCAGAAATGTTTAGGATAAATGGTAAATCAGTGCATTGTTTACATTCAAGAGATACAGAACGTGAGTGGTCTGTATATCATCACCGTCACGATGTTTGATCTGCTCTACAACTTGATATAAATTGAAAGTATCACATAAATTTTAACGCTTTCGTTTTCCTTGTGTATACCATCGTGAAAAACAATAATCAAAAGGACTCCCGTGAAAAAAAAAAATGATCTCGCTCTGCCGTGTTGCTTCACGAGCGAGCTAGAAACGATCAGCTATCATTTAGAATATTTGTAGATGTCACCGTGCGTAACGAATCCGTCCGTAATAAAAATAGGAAAATTAAACGCGTCAATCCCCATCGCGCGGCAACCGACGTGACTATAATTTTCAAAAACGAGGTTCGTTGCGCGAAATGCAGGACGTTCAGGAAAGAATTTTGTACTTTTCTAAGATCGTTCGCTCGCTAACGTGAAGGAACACGCGCCGCTTCGAACCGGGAGACCTTTTATATTCCGGAAACTCAGCAAGGATGTTAGATTTTAATATTTTTGTACCATGATCAGAATCGATTTATATCTTCGAACGTTTGACCTGACGTGACTTGGCAGTACGACGAGGTTTTTTCCCGGCGTCGCTAGGTGTTTCTTCCGATGTAGATTTCCGTTTTATGGATAACGAAGGCACGGGAGCCTTCGGTGGTGCCATTTCCTCTGTCGACGGCGGCGGTGAAGGCTGTGTGAGTGGTGGTTGAGGAGCCACCTCGGTAGGACTCTGAGAGTCTGCTATGGGAATGAAGTCTAATTCTTCATTCACTGTCTCAGGCGCGACACCTTGGTTACTTTGAACCGGTACGTCCTCCGACGGTACCAACATAGATTGGCCACAAACCACGCACACTGGTATCGCTGGGGATTTGGATCGCCAGTACTGAAGCTCTGTTTTACATTTGTTCAATTCCTATACAACACATACATGATATTAGAAATTACAGAGTCCGTGATAAGCATAAAGTTTTTCAATGATTTTACCTTCGCGTCTAAGTACATCTAAATTTCACAACATATCTAAATGACATGAATATGCAAGTATATGTATGCAAGTGAACATACATTTCTTCTGTCACATGTTATGCTTACGAGTACTAAGTGTACCTTCGTAAATACCTGTAGGAGTGTGCTAAATTTGCGGGAAGTCTCCTCGTTCTTCTTATCGTTCTCATCGAGACGCGTAGCGTATTCCACAATCTGTTTCTGTTGCTCTGCTATTTTCGCTTTACAACTCCTCAGGTCTCTACGCATTAATGTTAACTGACTATTGTACCGCTTCATGCCTTGCTTGATCTTACGAATTCGTTTCCGTAACACCATATTCGATTGTGGCGGTGATACATTGGACTCCAGAAGTACAGGATCGTCTGAAGAATGTGGAGGAGAACCTTCTTCTCCACTATTGCTTCCAGCTTTACCACTTCCAACAGCCATAGGTGTTGTGTCCAGACATATAAACGGCTTGTTCACATTACTAGATGCTGTCAACCATTTAACCAGAACACGTATCTTAAAGTAACAAGTTTTCAATGTTTCAAATAAGTTTAAAGATCGAATAATCAACTTACAGGAGAACGTTCCAGCAAGATCTAAGAAATCGGCTCCAAAGTATGGAATTTCTGGTAGTGTTGGTTCTATACGTTCTTTAAAGTACTCCATAGCCATAGTACTTAAATCAAATAACTCATCTGTAACTTTGTACGGCCTGGCTAATTTTTGACTAACCTTTATGTAATGTAAAATACGATAAACTTCATCTAAAATCTAAAAAGAATTGCAACTTAAATCTCTTATATACTCAGTGGTTGTGGTATATTTTTGATTGTATCACTTATGGACAAAAATTCAATTTACCTCGCCAGGAAAGAAACAACAATGTTTTCGTTCAATGTGCTTGCCAAAACTCATCTGCAGCAAAGTAAGTCTCATGTGAAGGGTTTCAATTATGTCCGACTCACAAGCTAGCGGATGATTACGACGTGCTGATTCGCGTCTTGGCATCTGTGCTTTAATTGCATGAAAACGACTTAACATTTGTGCTTGAAGCTTTTGAAATGTGGAGTTTAATATTGAACCACAGGCACGATCCATTTGATGGCATACCTGTGACAAATAAGCAAATATAAAAGATTAATATTACAATTACCTACATTTATTATGCTACTACTCAGTAAATTTACAGTGCTACACGGTAATTGTAATTTCTACTTACTGGACGTAAATGAGCTACAGTATTGTAATCCAAATAGCTGAAAATCTTTTCAAGAATTTCAACAGGTAAGTCCAGAAGATTTAAATTACTATAGGTGGGTGGATCCGAAACTGTAGCTCCACTGTACGAACTAGCCATCGTTACAGACTGATTTCTTCTCGATGAACTAGTATCTGCAACTTCGGCAACTGGTCCACCCCCATTACTTCCTCCCATGTTACTCGACTGACGAGTCGATACCATATTTTTAATGTTTCAGGTAATCAGCTTCACCAGAAACCTAAAACATTGTTATAAATCAAAATTATAACATGTAAACGATCATTTAGGAACTTTGCTTTCGCTGTATATTACTGCATTTCTGATCAAGAAAATAGCATGGTTTTTTAAATTTAAAAGAAATCAATAAAAAAGCAGAAATTAATAGGAATTTAAGATGTTTTGATTTATTAACAAGAAATATGATAATACATCTTACATACCTGTTAATTTACAAATCACATCTGAAAAATATCTAATTTCATATCAAATTTCTAAACTGCAAGTTCAGAAGATGATTTACAAAAATTCTGGTAAAGTATATATTTATATATACATAAAATATAAATAGTTATCAATGGATACAGTTTAGACCTCAACTTATACTTTGTGATTATTAGAATTTTCCTTAAAAATTGTTCATTCTTAAAACCGTGGAAAAGACAAGAACTCTTCTATAAAAATTTCCAATTAATTGTTTACTTCGGCTCGAATCATTCCAAGAGACTTTTGTTGAAATCACTCGTCCAGATTTCTTCACGATATCGACGGAAAACAAATCCGCGTAACCTGCAGGATTTTTCATCAGAATTTCGTGTACGAAATCCGGCTGTTCCCCCGGCGAAATAGTTGGTATTAACAACGATCGAAATAATATTAATAAAACCGTTGAGAAGTAGCACAGAAATTAGAATGCTCGACGCTTAATTTCGAGCTTGATTGTGAGAAATCAAAATTATGAAGTACAAAAAAATACCCTAGAGGTTGGGGTTACTTTCAACGACAACAAATACACGATATATAGGCAACGAATGGTTTAGTTGATCATCGAGGATAATCAGGAAATAAAGATATGTAACGAATACGGACAGATGGGCATAAATGTACACATGTATTTACCCGCCACCGTAACGAAATGGCCGGTAGAGTGTTGTACGCATAATACGCACGAGAAAATTATAGAAATACCGACACAAATCGAAGTCGAATAAATTTTTAAATCGAAATACGTGTCGAGAGCATAATACGTTTAAACAATGCATCAATGATAAAAAAAAAGGAAATGCTACATTATTTTTTTAGTCTTGCTAGAGAACACACAGAATGCAATTGAATTTTATTAGAATAATGAACAAAGTGAGATACACATTTTTTTCGTTTACAATTCTGAGGTATGGAGTATATAAACATCACAATTTCTTTCTCATTTGGGAGTACTCAAAATGTTAAAAAATCCTTGATCACTGATCTAAGAAAAAGTATAAGGTATAAAGTTAACTGGCACTCGACACACTGTTGTAAATAGTGAATGAGAAAGTATATAGTAAGTAAATAAGCATTTTTGTGCATGTAGTCTGAGAACTTACGAAGCAAGAGATTTTTAATGAAATGCATTATGTTGTTGCTATGCTTCCGATCGAACAGCAAAATGTTATGGAAAGTGAAGAGGAAGGAAACATTAAGAGACATACTGCTTAGATTCTAGTTATATTTAGCAGAATAAACTTTACTTACATTTTTGTAATTATAGAAAATAGCTAAACTAACAACAGGTATTCATTTTTTAAGGAACATAGAACTTGCCGCTGCAAAAAGCAAACCGATGGAATTTAAGTTCTGCTCTACGGTATATCAATGTGAGTATCAAAACAGATTTTTCTACTTTATATCTAATAAATATTTCTATTCTAGAATGTCTCAACTATGGAACACGCTATATTAACTTATTTGTAATTATTCCAATAATATCCTCCAAAGCATTCTATCAGGTACTTTCTAAGTGTAAACTAACAAAACAAACCATCTTCCTACTGCACCTATACATACGAATAAAGTATTTTGCTCAAGTTTTCGTACTATGCATGAAAATGCTCTCACTTCAACTATTCACTATTCACAGCAGTCGGATATTCCAGTTTCGAACAGCACCTAGATCCGGGCACGTCAATTTTCAAATTATTCGAAAAAACAAATATACTCTTGTTCTCGGTCTAACTGAAACTTCCGTTTTCGAACGCTCTTTTTCGAATCCCGATGCGAACGAAACCGGTCTTCAGTTTCGATTGTGATTCGGGAGTCGTGAAGGAGGTGACCGAACGTCCTCTTTACCGTCTGAAAACGTATTATTTTACCGAAAGGTGTATTTGATGGAAACAGAGGGAAACCGGGTGACCGTGCGCAATCGATGCACCTATGACTTTTCTCTCTTTGTAAGCTCCGAAGAAGCTGCGTATGGATTTCGTGCGTTCTCAATCTATTCGTCGATGGAACGGCTAGACGAAAGAGAAGAAAAAGGCGCGAGGAAATCTTGAAAAGATCACGTACCCCCTGTTAAATGACGGAAAGCAATCAATGTATCCGCGTTGGTGTTTTCAGCGACATTTTGACGGAGATCCCTTCCTTCTCCTCACGACCCTTGCTAATGCACTCGTTCTCACTCGGTTTCACCGTCGAACGTTTACTCCTTTCTTCTCGAATAACGCTATCACTCTTGTTCGTAACTCCTTCTCTATGGCTCTGTCTCTGTCCTGTCCCGTGCGGCGCGCTACACTCGTGCAACTACAATGATCCCTCCGCGACCGTCGCGTTGCGTTCACGTTTACCGACACCGACCTCTCCGGCGTCACATTTTCTATCCCCACCATCCCATTGCGCACTCACCAGTGCGCAGCCCTTTCGGAAAAAGAAGAAACGACGAGTAAGAGAGACAGTACCAAAGCAAGGGAGCTTACGTGCGAAGCCACCGACCAACCATAAGATAGACCAACCACCGTACAGAATCTTCTATCGCCCGATCTGAAATACCGACGTCGCGAAAAACCGGCAACGGCGAGCCTAGCGCCCTCTAGATACTTATCGATGTTAATTTATGTTATAAAAAATAATTTGTTCTTCCTATACAGTCTTGTATGCAGTGGAATTGTATAAGTCACGAGAAGTTTATCGACAAATGTAATTTTAGCTGTACAGATTATAACGATAAAACCAAAATTATAAAACTAAAACTCTATTCTATAAAATATGTTAATCGCCTCTGGTTTGCTTGATTTTAATTTTCTTCCATGTGGTATTTTTAGAAAAATAATACTGCGAGTTCGCTATTATTATTGCACGTTCGATATTAATGTCATTTCAATTTGCTTATTTAAAATAAAGATGTGGTTTTGTTGTCGAATTTCACAAAATGGTCGGTAACGTCAAGCACGACATGGAAATGGTAACAGTGCGACAGAGAAATATATCGGATGGTTGGTTCTACCGTATACCTCGTTTATGGTGAAGCGTACGTGTTTTCGCACTTGCTCGACCTCGGCCTCGGCGCTATCCCTTATCTTTGAGTGTGATGGCAGCACTGTCGTAAGGTCGTAACGCAACGGCGAATCAGAACGAAAGGAAATTGTTTCCCGTTCTCCGTAGCGTCGCGTTCCACAGATCCGATTGGAGCGACGTCACGGAGAGAATGTGTACGGCGCACTCACACGCGTAAATCGTACCCGGAAAAAAGCGCGCGCGTGCCGCGTTGTCGAAACGGTTCTTCCACTTCCTTTCCGTCGTCTGTCGCGACTCGGTCGTCTGTTGCGTGGGTCGAGTGCATCAGCTTCAGTTTGGTAAACAATGAAATAAAGAATACATACAAACGCCTTCACTGTTCCCCGTTTTGCGCGGAAATGGATCGGTCTTCCCCCCCTTCGCAACGATTTCCTTTATACGGCTCGTTTTCTCCTATGAATCTTTCGGCTCGCCACAGTTCGCTTCGAGATTCGTCGATTCGTCAACGAATTCGCTGTCAAAATCGAGATCGGCGTGCAAACAACGGCGATGTCGACGATGACGATGACGACTGCCGCGCGACCACGACCAAATCTCTATGTACATATGCGTGCCCCTCTTGTCGCGTTTCGTATCGCCATCGCCACTTCGCTCCGACGGTTTTTGTCACATTTTGTGGAAACGTACCCACCGACTCACAATTTGTTTCTCGATTGGTCAACTCGCGCAGCTCAGTCCACAACGCATGCTAATCCGACAGCATTTTAATAATGGCTATCCAACGATCCACGGAGGAAAACACCATCTCTGCTTCTGCTCTGTCCTCTGTCCTCCCGGTGATGCGGAGATGTGTGTCCGTTTGTTACGATTGTTAATTGTACCGAGTACGAGCTGCGTCGCGTCATGTACGCAGCACACGTACGAGAGGGAAATGTGTTGAAACGTTCGTCGCCAACCGGTCGCTGGCGACATCTGTGGGCCGTCGCGATCAATCGAAAGAGCGCGATTCGAATCGAGGTACGGTACAACGGTTCCCTAGACTTTTCAAACGATCTATAAATCGAAGAATGTATTCGTTGTTATCGTTCATGCGGTATAGGCTCGAATAGAAATAGAAATGCACTCCATACGCAACGATTTATTCATCGATACGTTTATTAGTTCGGGGGCACACTGTTACCAAAAAATAAATAAATTACTTTATAATTTCCCTTCATAAGGAAATTAATGGTTGTAGGAAAAATTCATTTAAGCATGTGTTGTTAACATGTTTTCTTTTTCTAAATCTAATTAATAGAGCTAATAAATCGAAAATTGTACAACTGTGGTGAAGTAATGTTCATTAAAAGATAGGGTATATGTTTTATAAAAATATATCTTCGCAGTAACGTGCATCACTAATTTTAAACATATTTCTAATAATAGTTTACAACACAAAGTACTGTTGTCTCAACAACTGGTAGATTTTATATCGGTCTAAATATACATAGTGTCTCAATAGTATAAAAATACCTTCGATGTTGCTCGATACCAAACTGAAGATAATGTAGCCTCGCTCTAATGTCGTGGGCGACATTATTGTTTAGAAATAATAAAAAAAAGCATTGTTTAACAACATTAATAGAACTTACATACCATAACAATTATACTTTAGGCTTTTTAAATTTTACGAACTCGAAACTTGGAATTCTTACAAATCGTTTGTCTTCAAACGTCATTACTTAATGCACGAGTATATGTTTCGTATCTCTCGAATGAATTTTTACTTCGTAACATAGTTCCACTTGTTAAATATACGAGGCTCTGTATTACAACTCGGACCGACTTTTATTCATTGTACGTGCAATCAGGAAGGATATCAAAAATTATCATACTCGTACATTTTTCCATGACTCGGATCGTGGAGCACTCCATTGTCCATTCAAAAATATGTTACTCCAACAAAGATGTCTATCTGCGTTAAAAGTTGTAAAATAAAAAATCTCCGAAAATAGAAATTGTATCTGGCCTGTCCAATCGCTGAAAGAATGATTATCTCGTTGACCTTTCGCGAACGAATCCGTCTTCGCCGCAACCGCCTCTCCAAACCGTATTACCCAAACGATCACACTTTTTACACAATATAGCAATTTCTGTGGGTTTTATGTAATACTTGCGAAATTGGGTCTAAGAAGCTACTGGTGATTTCATGAAATCTTTATTCCGAAACGGATCAAAGACGGCGACCTTCATGAAACATTACAACTCCACCTCGTTGAACCAGCTGCAGTTAATGCCGATATTTCACACCGGTTGTACGAAGATAAACATATCGAATCGTTTCTACGCTTATAATCAATCGGTGCTTCTAATTTTTTCGAGACGCGCGAACACAGCTGTGCTCTTCCAAATTTCGCGCAACTTCGAGAGGGGAGCCTGATATACGTATATACGAATACCTACATACTACTTTAAGAAACGAACTTGTGTTTCATAGAATACAGGTCTATCGATCCAATAACGTCTAATACACTGGCGAGGTAATGTTCGGTAACAGAGTATAACAAAGCCGAACGAAGTCTCAAGGCTTCTGAAATCTGAGCGCGAAAGAAAATCGTGGGCGAAAGAGGAGTTAACGGGACCATATTGGTTTTATACCGCGAGGAATACCGCAGTTCGTTGGCGAGCACCATGGACAATCGCGATGGAAGAAATTCCTACCAATAACGAAGCGAAAATGAAAAATGATTCGCGCGAGCGAACAATCGGCACATTGTTCGCCGCATTGACAGAGGAAAATTGACTGTCGTTACATTGTTGTTAGAAAATGCCGAGCCACGGAATATTCCAAACAAATGTTAGCGAAAGAACGAGTTATCTTCGGTAAAAAGAAGTCCGGTTGTATCAAGATTAATTCCCGTGGAAGTCGAAGATTTCAAACGCGACGCTACCGACTATAAATTACTAGTAATACGCAGAATGTCCCGCACAATTGAAATTCAAAGACGCGTTTTGTGTAAACCCGCGGTGAAATAATCGCTCGAATCATCGCGAATATCAATTAATGTTCGTGTGCACAGGTGCTCGTCGTCCGCGAAGATACGAGTACTTAGATCCCGCGCGACTATGCGTCGAGTGATTATTATTTGAACCGTTCCACTCCACTTATATGCAAAGTATCGCTCCCCTATGAATACACGATCTTCCCTGAGACTATTCTCGACGGTTTATAATCGGAATGACGATAAACAATGAAGTCATTGAACTACCACTGGAATATGAATAAGTTTCCACTCCGTAGAACTGGATCCGCATCGATCCCTCGAATCGACCATTTTTCTACGTACCTTCATCGCCGAGGAAACTGCCCAGCAACTTCCTTCGGGGCTTCCGATCCGCTTCTTCGTTCTTCTCGGCCAAAACTAAAAAAGTCTGCGCGTTCCTCCGTTTACACCCGGAAAGGGATGATTCCCGAGGTCGTCCGAACCAACTTTCCCCTTGGCGAAAATCCGAGCCGTGGCTTTGTATAGAAGCTATCGCCGAAAAACCCTGACCAATGAGAGGCGAGCTCGCCCAGCGATGATGGGTGGCCCAGCCAATCGGCGAAACCGGGCTTCGACCGTTCGCGTTGTCTCGGCTGCTTTGTGCCAGCCGAGCTCGCCTCTCATTGGTCAGGGTTTTTCGCTGAGAAGTCCTAAACGAAGTTGCGGACTTCACTTCCGCTAAGGGCAAAGGTACTTCGAACACGACCCGATGAATCACCCCTTTCCAGGCGCTGACATAATCACGAGACACCCTCTGTATACAAGAGGTACCTACATTTGCCATTCTACGTATTAAAATGGGACTAAAACGATTCGTAGAGTCTACGAGCGATTTATTAAATAAGTATTTTTAGGTATCGACGTATCAGGGAATTTGTAGTAGATCAACTCCTGTCTAAATTTATCCTAGAAAACAAGAGAAAGCGTGATCTCGCGGTACTATCGATGCTCAAAATTGTGGCTTCATCGATGTACTCGTCGCCGCGACGTGTCAAACCTGCGTTTGAGAAAACGGAACTTCGAGCGGCCTATTTTATACCTAGGGGAACCAAGCAATTAAGCAAACCGCCCAATTTCTATCGAGGCCTTCCACGAACCGACGACCGACGAAGTTTGAAAGAATCAGATTTTTCGGATGACCACAGTTCCTTTGTGAGTCACCGCAGAGGCTGACTAGGACATCCGGGCGGAGGGGATTTTCTGAAACCGGGATTCCTGTATATGTGTCAGTGGATGACAAGCTCGAAAGTAGCATTATATTTATTTGTCCAAAAGGAACCGTTGGACGGTCCGATTGGACAATTAGAGGCGGCTCGGAAAGAAACAGCCTATGATTTCGGAGAGATTTAAAAGCGTCCGAGTTTCGGAATGATCGATGCTCTCTGTCCTAAATCAGCGATTCCGCATCTACAGATGGCGGTTCCAGTCGTACACGATCGAGATTGTTCTTGTTCTCCTATCGATAGCTTTCTCGGCGTAGCATTCACCTGTCCGCCGAGAGTCTCGTCTCCGAGTCGCTATGAAATTTGTACAGAGTCGATAGGCTACCGCGAAATACAAGTGGTGGACTCTTATTTAACATAGCCGGCAAGCAGCCGGCAGTGCTCACTTGACCACCGACCGTAACAGAGTATTCGCATTTCAAAGGTAGCGTATCGAGACCCGCGGTGCCCGCAGTGCGAAGATCTTTTTTTTCCGTGAAAGACAGTGGCCCTAGACCGTTCGCCATGACCGTTCTAATCTTCGCTTTTACGGCGTTTCTCTTCTCCAGTAAGTTGCTTTTCTTCTTACCTGCGATTTCTTCGAATCATCGCGATTCGAAAATACGTCGACAGACTTTGTGCGCGCTCGGCCAGGCCGCGCGTAAAACAGTGCTTCGTCTCTATGATTTTGAAAGATTAGCGCGTTTATTAAAATTTCGTTCGACGTCAGAACGCTATATTTAGGCGATCGCTTACTACTTTCGGACTCCTCCGTGGATTGTCAACCGTTTGTACTCTATATTTACACCGAGTTTGTGCGTACAATACTATTTAGAGAATCGACGCCTCGGTAAAAATCGTACGAGTCGATGGATTTTTTAACCGCCGATAACGATAGGAGCGAAAGTACCGTGGAATTTCGATGACAGGAAAGGCTCGGTTTTTTTAAAAATGAAAAGCGTTCGATCGGAAGTTCGCGTTAACTCGCGGTCTCCGAAGAATTCGACAAAATAATTGAAATGTAAACGCGTTTTTCTTATCGCGACGTCCGAACTAAAATAACCATGCCCGAAGCATTCGTTCGATCTTCGAGAAAGTGTTTGCTCTTTTAAAATAAGATAGTTGTAATCTTTTTTTGTATGTGTTTCTTTCTATGTGCGCGCACAAATATTTGCCACCGTTTAAGAACGGTTACGAGCGTACACGATTCGGCGTTGTTAAAATTTAGTTGCCAGCTGCGGGATAGGGACAGAGCAACGGGGTGAACACAGAAAACGTCCGATGATAATTGAATTGTAATAACGCGTACGCATTGATAACCGTTATCAACCGTCGCTGCCTCCAAACTAACGACGCTTATTATTGATATCACGGAACCTTTTGAAATTCATGGAGGGACGCGTCGGCAACGTCGATGCATATTATTCGATAACTCGGTGACCCTCTTTCGATGTAGAAACGGTATGTAAAGGACAATTAGTACGATGCCGAAGATTTCCATCCGGAAACGTGCGCGCCAGGCGAGAAGCAAATCTGTTATATAAAATTTGTGAAAAGGGAAAGCTAGGCGGCGCGTTCTATATGCATTCATTGTTACCATAATCGTTGCCAGTTGCGTCCACAACGATAATTCAACGCGTCCATCGCGTCGATCGTATCATCGAAGAATGGTAATTCGGACTTCGACGCGCTAGAAATTCGTATCTCTCGTTTCCACGTCATATTTTCAAAATTAAAACGGCTGCCGACGATCGCGATTCATTTGCAAGCGTACGTCGAAACTATCGGATACATAATTAGTATCATGGAAAACATAGCGGAAGGAAGTAACGAGAAAAAGGCTTATCTTTGGCGCGGTAACATTTACATAAATTACTGTCACGATAAAAGAACTCGATTGTTTATTCAGACTTCGCTCGGTCTGTCGGCCAACCGGACAATAAGTAACGAATTGTTTGGAAAAATACTATTTTCGAATTTAACCGAGATAAAAATAAAGCGTGTTTCGCGTTTTTCGCATTCGTCAACGATAACGATCTGGACGGAAACGTCCGAGCCGACGATCGGGGGAGAAAAAAGTGCATCGATTACGGAAGGACATTAATCATAGAATCGGCGCGCTCGTCTTCTTCGATCCGAGATGCGATTATCCGATGGACGACGGTTCTCGATCGGCGACACCGCGGACACGCGCGTGTTCGCGTAGAAATGTAACGCGTGGACCATTTCGATCGGCTTTCGGCAACGGGGCGATTCGTTGATGCGAGCCTTACGTAACGAGCCTTTGCTGCACGCGTGTGCGTTTCGCCGCACGTAAACAAATGTTGCCGCCGATAAAAATAAGATTTTACTATTCGGGGGAACAAATTTACGTAACGAGCAGCCGCGAACTTTAATTATATACTTTCGAGCCTCGCACTTTCTTCGGCCGCGTAGAGAAAGAGAGAGAGAGAGAGAGGATGAACCGACGAGATTCGCGGAGCGCGCGGCTGATCTAATCCGTCGATTAGAATTCAGAATGGCGTGATATACCGCGACGCTCCTTCGGCGAGATCGAGGCTAATTACCCGCAATTTACCGTTTAAGAAATCGAAACTGTCAATCGCCGGCCTCTGCCGGCACGGCGACACGTTTTTATCGCGCCGATCGCGTTCCTGAAAGTTGATAGCGAAGCGAATCGAATCGAGTACAGGACCCCGCCGATTCAACGTTTCTCGCGATATCTGTGGCCGGATCGAGCGACGATAATTTATCGTCTACGCGGCATAACGAGAAAGGATCTCGTAAACATTTTTTCGACGGTGTCTTACTGCCACGAGCGGATCGCTGTTTCGTCTTCGTCAACGATGTAGATAATGAGTGCTCGTTCTCGGAAAAAGATTGTCGTGGATCGTTTTATAATAGAGAACCGCTGTACAAATTAAGCAGGTTTTATCGGCAGAGACGAACATAAATCACACTTCCGTTGATTTAGGGTTTCTCCGATTCTAGATGTGGGCACCCTCTCTCGCGAGATAACCAATTATCGGATTAACCGATGGCGCGGCGTCTTCGCGGATCGTCCTCCAAATAAATTAATTTAACCCACGTACATACGTGTACAGCGTGTCGGGGTCATTCGACCTGGAAACAGATCCGCGCTTTTAATCGTTTCAATCTTTAATCGAACGTCGACTGTGCGCTACAATTTCATTCCGGAAATACGAATGTCCCAAGTTCGCGAACAACGTACGAGGGTTGTATCGCGACGAACTGTTTCGTCGAGACTCCGAGTGTTCTATACTAAATGAGATACACCAACGCGAGACGAATAGAAACGTACGGCACATTTTGTGTCACTCGTTTCGGGCAAATCGTCGCATTTTACTCGCGAGATACGCTCGAAGTACTTTGCTCCCGGGAATCGTCGAATCGCGTATTTCGCGAAGAAATCAAGAGCTCGCTTCGATAGCGAATTTCAACGAACGAGTCGCGCGTTGGTCGCTAAAATCGCGTTGGCCGATCAATTTCTGCGGAATTCCGATCGTCGAGAGACCATCGAAATATACGCACCGATCGGAAACTGAGAGAAAAAAAGTAGAGGAATCTCCGTTTAGGCTGCCGGCGAATCGTCGGTGTCGGTAACGGCGTACGAAATCTACGTAAATAGTTCGCGAAATAGACGGATGAATGGGAACGGGAACAAAGGTTCGATTAGTACAATAGCCATTAATTCGCCATCGAAAGAGCAACATCGTTCCGTACCGAGACATTACGTGTACTTTACAAAGTCGGAAGGACGCGCATAGGATGAACGAGGCGGAATCGCCGCGTTGGATCTCTGGCACCGTAATAGCAGAAGTTACGTGCCCCGGAAAGATACGTATGCGGCGTTCATAAACATTTCGGTGTGATTTGCTGCATGCCACGTGTTGCGCAATCCCTCCACGGCGAATGAAAAATTCGTGCCGAAACCGACCGTCGTCGGGTCGCGCTCGGAAACCGACGAGATTACAATTATTAGCGCGAGAGCTCGATAACCAAATTAATTGGCATTCGAGACACACGGATACGCGGAGATCTGGCTCGAATCGTGGGAAATTTCCGCGATTACGTTTCATTCCCAGAACGCTGTCTCGATCGTTGACGGTGCTCCAAAATATTCTCCTCCGTGGAGCAACGATTTCGACGCGACGTTGAATTTCTATTCCGTGGCTCGCGCGTCCCTTTCGAACACGATGTTCGTTTTCATCGGAACAAAGTCGCGCGATTACGAAGCTCTACGCGATTCGGATTATCGCGCGTCGAGACTCGGATCGCCGGATCTCTCGTCGAGATCGTTAACCCTGCTTCCGCCAACGGCTATTAGATACCGTGGTTTTCGAACAGATTTGTCGGTTGCAGCGACGGGTTGAACAGAAGCGAGGCTAGATAAAAAACCGCGCCTCTTCTGCGAACAGGTCGATTCCTTTAAAAGTAAATTAAGCGAGAAGCGACGTTTGCGTTTCCCATAGGTTTTTCGGATTCCCGTTCCAAAGTAAACGGGAAAGGATCGATCTAATCTGAAGCGATCTATCGGAGAACAAACTTTGCATTTATGCGATGTTTACTTGTTTTCGCGTCGATGCCGCGGCTGCGAGAAGTTTACGCCGTCGGTCCGGTGAACTATAATCGTTGAACATTGAACAACCGCCGTGTACGCGAGCGCGAGTACATAAGTATGTATGTAATGCGATCCGCGACGAATTAATGTTGAACGCAGGACGGTCACGGGTCACGGGCACGTGCAATCATGAATGGTCGCGTATAAAAATAAAAGTACACAAGCGCATACCAACGTCAATCGGTCGCGGCGTCGCCTCGCCTCGCCTCGCCTCGCCTCGCCTCGCCTCGCCTCGCCAGACACGATACATACATANTTAATTTAACCCACGTACATACGTGTACAGCGTGTCGGGGTCATTCGACCTGGAAACAGATCCGCGCTTTTAATCGTTTCAATCTTTAATCGAACGTCGACTGTGCGCTACAATTTCATTCCGGAAATACGAATGTCCCAAGTTCGCGAACAACGTACGAGGGTTGTATCGCGACGAACTGTTTCGTCGAGACTCCGAGTGTTCTATACTAAATGAGATACACCAACGCGAGACGAATAGAAACGTACGGCACATTTTGTGTCACTCGTTTCGGGCAAATCGTCGCATTTTACTCGCGAGATACGCTCGAAGTACTTTGCTCCCGGGAATCGTCGAATCGCGTATTTCGCGAAGAAATCAAGAGCTCGCTTCGATAGCGAATTTCAACGAACGAGTCGCGCGTTGGTCGCTAAAATCGCGTTGGCCGATCAATTTCTGCGGAATTCCGATCGTCGAGAGACCATCGAAATATACGCACCGATCGGAAACTGAGAGAAAAAAAGTAGAGGAATCTCCGTTTAGGCTGCCGGCGAATCGTCGGTGTCGGTAACGGCGTACGAAATCTACGTAAATAGTTCGCGAAATAGACGGATGAATGGGAACGGGAACAAAGGTTCGATTAGTACAATAGCCATTAATTCGCCATCGAAAGAGCAACATCGTTCCGTAC